AAAAAAAGAAAAAAAAAGAGAGAAATAGAAACGAATAAATAGAACAAGAATCAAGTCCTAATAAAACTACAGGGTACGGACTGACTAGAGAGGACCTTGAGTCTTGCCAGACGGGATTCACTTCAAGATGTGGAATTATGAGGGTCGCATTCAAAATTTTAGCGAGAGCAACTGCATCACAAATCTTTATAAACAGAAAATTGCGCGTATTAGTCACTCGACCAATCTAATAATAGCAGGTACACTTGGATGGGCTAGTTGATGATATAATAACTTGAATTACTTACACCCATTCTCTGCTGATTTAGACCTCCATCGAGGAACACCTGAATATAACCTTCAGATTTTTCTGGCACTTCTGCAAGAAACAGAAGTTCATACGTGTAAGCACGAACAATTATGCTTGGTAGAATACAAACTTAATTTCCATAACCAGTTCGATTAGGATTGCCCTACAAATACTGACAAATTCATTTTATTTACAGTAAAAATTCTCACTTACTTGAGGTACTAACTGATTTGAGGCAAGGCTTCCATCCTTGGTCAGGCAAAGGCCTCCATAGATCAGCCTGTTGCTCATCAGACTTAAAAGGGCAAAAAACAAGGCAGAAATTGCATAAGTCCTACAATGCTCTAACAAAATTGATGCCGTCAAGTAATCTGCAAATTGATTGAACTCTTACTCACAGTTTGGCGTTGGATGGCACTCTTAAGTAGACGAGAGTGTCTAGGTTTTGGAGTGTTCCATTCCTACAGCAAATAATAACCGGCTTATCAGAACAGAAAACGAGCCGAACTATTGGAAACTCTACAGAACACAAAATAATCTGTTCAGGCAAACAAACTATATGCATGCATTAACTGAAACAATTTAAGGTTCAAATGACATTCCTCCGTTATACACCAATTTACAGTCACTTAAAATCACTGCTAGATCTTTTCCTATTTTCGGATTTTCCGAAGAAAAATACTTTTAAACCACACTACAACAACATACCCAGTATATTCCCAACTGGTTGGGGTCTGGGGGGTCAGTTGTACGCAGACCTTACCCTTGTAATTATACAAGGAGGCTGTTTCCGTAGCGACCCAAGACTTTTAAACCACACTCCGGAAAAACAAAAAAAAAAGATTGTGATGCAAGATGATGACAACCATAACCATGGCTACATATATACTCATAAGAGATACATAAGGATCTAAAAGAATCGATTTTATAAAGAATATTTACATCATCTGACTTGCACACAGAAAAAGCAAAATAAACTGACCAAGAATCTCCATACCCAAACAACTTGCATACAAATTAGATTGCATAATTTACAGTAAGACCAGCTAGATTTCAACTATTCAGCCTCTGCATATTTCTTCCCCCATTTTCACCTACATTCACTAAAAGATATTGATAAATTTTGTTTTTCCTGTTTCCAACAAAACCCCAATAAGTGAAAGCAATATCACTAATTCACACTGCAAAAAATCTCCTTCAAGGTCAAATCTTTATTGCACCAAGAAAACAAAAGATTTCAGTTCAGTTTCTTGATTTTTCTGATTTTTTATCCTTATAGAAAGTCTAAATATTTTCCATCAGAAAAAGCTAGAAAAGCCAGAAAAAAAAAAAAAATTAATAAAAAAAATACAGACATTAAATTTTAAGTACAGTGCAGAATTGCCCATAACAAGAAAACACACAAATGCACATAAAACACACAGATCAACATAACCTTAGAACTCCAAAAAAAAAAAAAAAAAAAAAAAAAAA